CCCCCCCCACTTTTTCTACTCTCCCCTCCACTGGACTCCCAGTCCTGCCCCCACCCCGGGCCCGAGGAGGAGAGCCTTACAGGTTGTCAATGAAACATGGAATTATTTCCTTTGATGGCTTAGATAATAGTAGGAGCCAAAGCAATGAGTGAGGTCGGCTGAAACCAATGCAGTCCTGCCCGGGACCGGAGAGCCAATCGCAGGAGCAGAGGGCGGGGCGTCGGCGCCAGCAGATAATTGCTAAGTGCATCGCTAGCACAGTTGGGCCGAGCTGCCGAAAGGTCTGGTCGCAGAGACAGGAACGCGTAATCCTCAGCGTGCTCCATCCTGACGGCATCCTTCCACGGCTCGGCAGGGCAGCGAGCCTCTGGCCGCCAGCCCCTCTGCTCCGCGGAAAAGGTACTTCTGCCTGCGTCCCGGGGGGTGCTGCTCCGGCTCTGGCATTCTCAGTGGCTGGAGGTTTAGCATATGTAGACGGATTGCAGAAAGAAAAGTTTAGGGGAGGAAACGTGACAAAGGTGGGAAATCACCGTCTTTTGTTGGGATAAAAACAAGCTGACAATTTGGAAAACTTCTGCGCTGTCTAGAACTGGCTTTGTTTACTACTCTCTCAATTAGCTGCACTCAGGTCTGTGGAAATAGATCTGGTCTGGGGCTAGGGTGACTGCATGGTTGGGGTGTAAATTCAGGTTTGTTGGGTGAAGGGAACTGGACCCCTGGATGTGCTGCTTCGTGGCAAACCCATCACTGGGAGGCTGATGCTGAGAAATATGATTGGTTGGTTGGGTTTTCTGCCATAGGGTCTGCCCCCTTTCCATTACCTTGACCTGCCTTCCCCCAACTACGTGACCTTCAACTTGAGTCCTTTCTCAAACTTCTGTCTCCTCCCTCCCTCCTACCCTTTGCCCACTCCATCTCAGTTCATTTGGGGGGGGGGTGGGAAAAGAAATTTCCTGGGGTGTGGGCGGCTGTCCTGTTTGACCTGATGGGCATCTGTGTGACACACAACTTCAGAAACCAATGAAACAGTTCTCAGAGGAAAAAAAAATTACTTAATTGATTAGCTCCTGAAAACTGGAAGACTTTTCAGGGGTGGTGTGTCCTGAAATAAAGGGGGATGGAGCTAAACTGTATCCCCTGTGAAGGTTACACCCTTATCAGAGAAGGGCTGTCCAGGGCAGAGCATGAGAGGTGGAGGCTGGTGGGAGGGGCAGACTCCTAGGGGCTGCCTCTGTTTAGGTGTGCAGGTATGTCTGTGCCCCAGAGGGTGCTGGAGCCACCATCTACACTGTTTCTGATCATTGCTCTTCAAGCAAAAAAGCTTGCCATGGTCAGCGGCTGGTTCAGCCTCGAAACACCCTTGTGCATTCTAAATTGTGGGATCACAAGGGCCTCACTTGCTCTGAGACCCACTTTTGGGTCTGGGGAAAACTCCTGTCCCAGAACTTCTGCAGACAGGAGGAGTTAGGCCTCCTAGGAAGAAAGGTCCCCATGGAGAGAAAGGTGATGTGCTTGGTCTTGAACTTCCTGCCTGCTTTGGCGCAGGCAGCTCCTACTTGAATGCCCTACAGCACTTCACCAGGTATGTCCTCTGACCTGCTGGATGCTCTGAACATGTCAGTCCAAGACCGATCTTACAAGTCCCTGGGGCTTTGGTGAGGTCAGGTGAATTGCCTCACCCTGATTTCTATCCTAGTTCTGAAGCTGGGGAGTTCGATTCCCAGTCCTGGCAAAAAGTGAACATCCTGGGAGAGATCCTCCAGCAACCCCTTGTCCCTATGACACCCTTCCTGCTGAGGTGCGGATGACAGTCACCCTTCTCTGGCTCCACAAATCACTCTCAGCTTTTAATTCTTTAACTGCCACAACAGGTTCTCCACCTCCTTTACGCAGCTGTTTTGGGTGGGAGTCCTTATTGTCGAAGCTCTACTCACAATGGTTAAAAAAACAGCTGCCTGACTTTTTTTTTTTTTTTTTTTTGGTCAGGATGCAGGCAGCTTTCTCCTCTGCACATGTTGTCTGACAGTAAACAAAACAAACTTACAGCCCTGAAAATTATGCCTTTGTGTTTGGGCGTCTGGAGTGGACGCTGAACTTTTGTCTGCTGTTGGGGCATATTTGGCCACACACCTTCTCCCCTGTGTTCTCTCTAGGGCACATGACCCCCAAAGAGCCCAGGAGAAGTGGCACCCAGCAGGTGGGGGGAGTTTGAGAGGGGGCACCTTGGTTTTCAAGAAGGCAGTAATAAAACTAGAAAATGCTTTTGAGTTTCAGGGGTGCTTCAAACCAAAAACCAGTAGCGAAAATTGAGGGTCCTTTCAATTGATGCTGATCCGCTAGATTTCTATCATGATAGAGGACATTCAAAGTAAGGCTTTTAAACCAGCTCCTGAATGGTGACTCATGCTGGAGAGAAAAAAGGCAGGGTTGGGGGAGGGAGCAGAGGGAGCGTTGGGAAGTGCAAGTGGGACACACTGGAGCGCTTGCCTTGTCTTCTTCTCCCTCCTCCTCATTCCTCTTCCTTGTAGTTCTCCATTTGGAACAAAGATCGTTAAAATAACAACTCTAGACTAAAAAAAGCATAATAGGAGCTGGAGAATAATTGATGAAATGCAAAACACCATCATTGCAACTTCACCTTGGATGGAGCATGAAATCCAGGATCCAGCCCCACCGCTGTGATCCACTTTGGAGAATTCAATCTCTGGTGTTAGGCTGATTGGTTCCTTGTGAAGCATGGTGCCTGTTTGTGTGTGAAGGGACTGATTGCGGAAAATTAGTTACTCGTCATTTCATTAAACATGGTAGCTTTCGCCAGAACCCTGGGCAAGCACCATCCATAGATCAAGCATTTTCTCCTCTCCCCAATTGGGCAACTAGGCTTTCTCTCTTTTAACTACTGTGCTGAGCAGGGGTTGCCTTTTTCTGCTTTCACAAGCCCTGGGTGACTTACCTGGCAAGTAAAAGTCCCTTCCTTACTTTTCTGTTTTCTTTCCTGTCGTCTCTTTTCATCATAAACACATCAGTAATCTCTTTGCCAACCTACTTTGATCTCGGCATTTTGTGCCAATTTTGCTGTTAAAGAAAACTGTCCCCTGAAAATAGGATTGAAAACATATGAAAATTTAACAGAGAAGAGCCTTTTAGTCCTTCTGTTTTAAAATTTAATTTTGTGGTTTTGGGGAAATCAAATAAGCACGTTTATTGTGTTAGGTGTTTTCATTGATGGCTGTTGAGACGTCTTTTTTCTCTTGGGTGGAGGCGTGAACTCCCCAGTTATTCTGGGGGTGCGTGTCTGGAGGTTTGAAGTAGTCTGGAGTATCCCCTGAAAGGTGAAGAGATTGGAGCATGATGCTTCTCTTTATTCATCACCGGGTGAAGGCTGTTTTGAAATCTAGGCTCTGAAATGTACTCACCTCCCACGGTTATTTTTCCCCTTCATTCTTAGGAAAATTTCATAGCCCAAATTGTTAGTAAATAGTTCACCTGACTCACTTTTCCTTACACACACACATGCCCCCTTCCTCCCTCCCTGCTCGGGAGCTATCGCATGCTGAACGATCTTACTTAATCTGATACATGCCTCTCTTTCTTCCTTCCCTTCTGATTCTTCCTTCCTGTCACTTAAGGTCAACCCTAGAGGTTGAGATTTAATTTTGGACACCCTGCTCACCTCACTTCTAGAACAGTTAACCAAGGGGAGTCAAGAATTCTGGGATGCACATGGAGTTGCCCTGCGGGAGCAGTGAAACAATCCTTCACCACGTTCTGTTCCACGCAGACCTCCCCAGAGCACATGTGGTGGTGCAGCTACCCCTCATGAGGCAGGCAGGGCAGACGGTTCTGAGCACAGGCCTGTTAGATGTGCTGGGACTCCATCACGCAGAACCCTCGCTGCCCCGCTGTCCTGACACCCACCCACCCTCAGCTCCCATGCAAAGGACTGACGTTGGACGCATTAGCCAGCAGTGAAATGTGCCTGTCATTCTCCCAGTTCCTTTGTTCTTTGTTCCCTTCTCACCCCTAAATCTCTCTCTCTCTCCAGAGTTAGGAAGGATCAGATCTACTTATTCTTACTAGGGTGTAAATAGTTAAGAGTGTTGCCACTGACAGAGGTGTTTGTGTTCTTAATGGAAATCCAAGCTGTTCATAGTGGAATTGTAGACATCTGCCTCAGGATTCAGAAGACGGAGTTTGGGTGGGGAGTGTCTGGGCAGTCGTGGACCTTTGCTTTTCAGTGAAGGCTGGTCGTGCTCTCACCCCGTCAAGGACATGCTGCAGCCACGTGGGGGAATGCGCTGGCAGTATTTGGCATCTAGCTCCCGGAGCCTGATCCCTCAGACTTGACCTTGGGCACTGTACTTATTTTGCCTATTCTGACCTCAGTTTCTTCATATATACAACCAGAGGCTTGGACTGTTTTCTCATCGATCCCCTTTCTGCTCTGCCCTTCTCTCTGGATGTTGCCCCTGGAGTCCTAGATCCAGCTGGGGATGTTAGAGCTCCAGAAGGACTTGGAGCTTGCGGAGCGTGCTCCAGTGTGGGCCACGGTGCTCAGGGATGCTTTCAGAGCTGGAATCTGTGAAGGCAGGTCGGAGGGATGGTGGTTGTTATGCCACAGGAAAAACAGGCTGAGGGGTGATGTAATAACTGATTTTGGTTTAGGAGGGGATGTTACATGGAGGATGGCGACCAGCTGTTCTCCATCTCCAGTAGGATTGAACGAGAGAAAATAGACAGAAATTGCAGCAGATGGACTTAGATTAGGTATGAGGAAGAATTTTCCGTCAGCAAGAGTTGTTAAAAAGGGAAGGTTGTGGAGCCTCCGTGATGATCTTTAGGAAATGGGTAAGCAGGAGATTCAGCTGGAGGAGGAGGTGGAGTGCTGTGAGGAGCCTGCAGGAGGGGCTGTCTGCTCCCGGGATCCTGGCCCTTTCCCCAGGAGGGCCCTTTGTGGTTTCCCAGAAACCTCACCTTTGGTCTGAGGCTATCAAAGTGGCTGAGGGCCCAAGTCCCTGGGATGGCAGGAAGGGCTGTGGCCAGCCTGCGTGGCCCTTCCAGGTACCGCCTGGACTGGCAGAGCCTGTCCACTGCTTGGGGCCCTCCAAGTCTAATCTTTCATTCCCAGTTGTGGCCAATGAGGCCCAGGGAGGCAGCAGGCCTTGGTGTCCTCACGCTCTGACCCGATGGCAGAGCCAGGACCAGAGTCGAGGTCCTCTATCCCTTGAGTTAGTGTTCTTTGCTTGGTAGCTCATTTTTTCTCTTGCTTCCAAATTGAATAGACCATTTACTTTTTCTGGGCTCCTAATTTTTCTCTAACCAAATGGTGGAGACAGGGACACCTGCAGTTAAGCAGTGTTTACTGAGTGCCCTTTACTAGCACGGGGTACTCCACTCCA